CTGATTCTAGATACTCTTTAGTACACGGTACCCATCAATGTCCTGCAGGCTTTGCTATGTGACGGCAAAGAATTGTAAGAGGGTAAGGATAGTATCAATCGAGACGGACTCCTGAGCAGCAAAAGCCCTATTTTTAACTTTTTGGGCACAGAATGTACAATAGCTAACTTCCTAGATAATGACAATAATCATAGAATCAGATATTGCTCTCAACAACAGTGTCACCTACCAGGTCCAAATGTGAATCTAAACCATCTAGGGATCCATTCCAACACATTAAAAAATTCGTTAAATCTGTCGATTCGTTTTTTAGTTTTAGTAAGACTAACGGATTTTGCTAAGATAAGCGTAATAAAATAAAATGATATGTATTAGCTAGATTGAAGATCACCTTCCGATCTCCATACTAAACAAGACGAAATTGTCGACGGTGATGTCCTTACTATTGTAGTAGTGTTGTGAGTAGTGGTGCTGGGATTAGTGGTGACGGGATAGTGCACGCATATAAAGAGGGTGAGAGGTGCTCTACTCTTTAGGTAAGACATATTATTTTATTTTATTACGCGGATCTTAGCAAAATTATTTATATCATCTTTATTTATGATTAAATTCTCAAATTGGAACTGTAACAAGCGTGTAAACACGAAAAGAGAACTTATGCGCACAAGATTTAGAATTATAAATATTATTAGGTATTATTTATAATTTGCCATTAATGCCTTTCAGATTGGGATTCAAGGTGGAGTGCACTGGATGGTATCTTTCTAACATACTCTTAGACAGAAAATAAGCCTTGCCAACTGTTTATGTCTTTATTGCAGTAATTTATTTTTTTGAGAATTTCATAAGACATTATGACCTCCTATTGTAACCCTTAATATAAGGTGACTTACAATTAAGATTAAATAAATACGGCCTGGTAATTTCACATAATTTCAGTTTTGAAACCAAAAACCAATATGTGCATTTTTATGACTTTGCTTAATAGAAAAAAAGCTGAATTTTTAAATTTGAATAGAGTGTTAAATGAATCAGAAACATGGCGATATGTTGGGGCTTTCTTACGACTAAAAGGAAACGGTTTAACTCATTTTACGTCGCTTCAGAGCAACGCGAGTATATTCCATTAATATGCAAATTTTATACATTACGTCGCACGGTCGCTAATCGAGAACAGTTAAGTTTTAGCCTGAGCATATGTTATTTTGGAACATAAATTTTAATTGCATCTTTTATGGAGTAGAAAGAGGTTTAATTCATTTTATTTTACTGTTTTACATTTTTAGAAATTTTTTGCTTTAAAAATTGAAATTTTTCAATTTCCTATTTAAAATTGTAATAAAAGGTACGTGTGATTACTTGCAAGTGCCTGTATTTCCATCCAATTAGAATCTGGGCGTTTTAAGGGCAAGAGTGCAGCCCATGGACACCAGCGACTCATTTTAAATAAAAAGCTACGTATATGTTTGTCGCTTTCTTAATATTTTGTTTCTACTTTTTTATAGAATAAGGGTGACAAATGAGCACGCAGGCCACCTGATGGTAAGTGGATGCTGTGGCCTGTACACTTATCTACATTTATCCTCGATTAAGAATCAAAACGCAGATGCGTTGTCACACCTGAGGACAAAGATGGAGTGCTTCATTTCCAGTAAAAAATGGGAATCCAGATCTCTACGCTCACCATAAGAAACACAGCAGTATTAGGCTGATATTCTGTGAAAGCGTGGTCCTTCCCTGGTCGTACGGACCCGTACTTGCTACAACCACAATATAGCTGCAGCGTGGCTCTACCACGTAGTTGTCGATGATATAATGCGTCTCAGCCTGTAATTATATCGACTATTTATGCTTCAGACCAGTACTCTTGGAAGGTGTTTTGCCATACTTAAACCTTGAAGGTTGAAGGTTGCAAAGTAATAAATTTTTTATTATACTTGAAAATGGTAGGTGGTGCTGTTATCAAGATCCGGAAGTCACCCCAACGAAGCCGAGGCGGATCGCTAGTCAATACAAATAAATAAAAATGAAGTGACCATTTGTATTGTCAAAGTAACAGCTTTTTACAAAATGCATATGAAAATATATACGGTACTAATAACAAAAGCAATTTTTAAAATTATTGTCTGCCTGTCTGTTTGTTCCGGTTAAAACTGGACCAATTTACAACGGGAGTTTCACTGATAGCTAATAAGGAGTAATTTAAACCACATTTATTTCGGAAAAAGAATTAGGGTTCCGCGTAAAATAATTAAAACCTATAAAATCCAATAGTTATAAATTTCACACTGAAGTCCCGGGCTGCAGCTGGTCTTTATACATATAATTCCTTTGTGCGTGTTTTAATTTTTTTTATAGGGTAGGGTGACAAACGAGCACACAGTCCACCTGATGAAAAGTGGTTGCTGTGGCCCATAGATATCCACATCTATCCTCGATTACGAATGAAAATGCAGATGCGTTGTCACCTGTGAGGACTAAGATGAAATGCCTCGTTCCCATTAAAAAGGGTCTCTGGTTCTTTACACTCTACTATTATTTTACGCTGGTATTCTGTGAGAGCGTGGTCCTTCTGCGGTCGAGCCAACCCATTCGTGCTGCAACTATACTAATATAACTGCAGCATGGCTCTACCAAGTATTCTCCCCCTAAACAGCTTGATCGATTTTGATAAATTTTATATGGGGTAGTTATGGAGTAACTTCGATGGTCCTAAGCTTTAATATTACCCGTTATGTCACGATGTTGTCGAGATCCTGAGTTCACCCGAGCGAATCAAAGGCTGATTGCTAGTCTTTGTATACAAAAATTCAGTGTAACTGATTTTGATGAATTTTATAGGGTATTTTGGGGTCACCTTGATGGTTCTTAACTATTGGTGGTAGGTGGAGCTGTTTTAGACATCCCAATATCACCGGTGTGAAGGTGGGGTAAACGTTAGTCTTTTATAGAAATTATTTTTAATCCTACTGCAAGAATCGGAACGGCCACTATACGAAGCATTTTTAATTAAGTAATAGTCCATATAAAGGCATTTTTAACAATGCACAACGGGCCGTGTATATCAATTTTAATCAGAAATGCCGTTGTGGTATTAATTAATCAATCAATGTACTTCATCCCACTGCAGTGTTCGAGGCCCGTCTGATTAATTAAGATGTACAAAAATACAATACAGTAAAATATATTTATTTTTGGATATAACTGTATAAGAGAAATTTCATATTTATAACCATTGCGTTTTGTTTTCTACTGTGTTTAAACTCTTTGTATCATGATTATACCTAGAAATAATTTACTCAGACGAAAAAAATCTTGAAGAAATCTTTAATTGCTGTTTAAAGTGATATCTTTGAAAGTTTTTACCGAAAGACTATCTTATTTAATTTTAAGTATTGTACAATAGAGAATTTATTCGTTAGATCTCTTTAGGTCGTTAAAGCCTCAGAAAAAAGAGGTTAGTGGAGGCTTTAGAGCTAAAAACACTTGAATGAAGCCTTATTCCGCGGTGGGTGCGGCTAACATCTATACGTTTAAATAAATTTGCAGTGTCTGTCTATAATAATAATAATAATGTCCTCCAGACCAAATTTCAGACACGGCGGCCAGCCTCAACGGAGGCTAGCCATCGGCGCAGGACAGGATTATTGCGCCCAAGTGCATGCGCAAGCACAGGTGCACTCTCTATTCCCTCACTCTCATAATCCGATGGTACGGTAAACCGACACGACCGGAGAGAGATCAGGTGCAGGACCAACGGCTTTACGTGCTTTCCGAGGCACGGGGGTGAGACACCACCAACTTCCTGACTCCAGGCAACTACTGAGAATTTTTTTGACGGAAAAACTCAATAATTAATTTTTTGGCCCGACCCGGGATTCGAACCCAGAACCTCATGATCAGCATTCGCACTACTACAACCACTAGACCAACGAGACTGTCAATAATGACGTGTCTGTCTATAATAACGTAATAACTATCCCTTATTGAGCTGAGAGGGTTATTTTCATGCTGTTAAGACATGAATAATCTTTAAAAAAATTGCCTGTCGGTCTGTTTGGACTCGGTTTTTTTTGGTTTCGGTTTCGAAATGGCTGAGCCAATTGTGATAAAACTTTACAAAAATACAAGCCAATGCCAGGACAGATCTTTTTGTATACGTGGTAGTCTTGCTGCAGCTATATTATAGTTATTTTACAATAGGTCGGCTCGACCGGGGAAGGTTCATGCTCTCACAGAATACCAGCGCAAAATGGCGGCTTAATGCTGCTGTGTTTCGTATGGTGTGCGTAGAGAACCGGAGACCCGTTTTACCGGAATTGAGGCATTCCATCTTAGTCCTCAGGGGTGGCAACGCATCTGCGTCTTGAATCTTAATCGAGGATTGATGTAAATGTCTATGGGCCACAGCATCCACTTACCATCAGGTAGACTGTGTGCTCGTTTATCACCCTTCTTTAAAAATAAATGAATAAAAGTCCCAAAAACACTTAAAGATATTAAAAAATGAAACAAATTGATAAAATAAATGGTCTTTGAAATCTAAAATCTAAATAACACCACATTAATAGATCTTACAGGGTCGCTAGTAACAACAAAAATAGTAACACCACCACTATTGTAATATTTCTCGTGTTCTCATATAAGCTACAGGTTTTGCTCATCCAGTAACGTCAGTCTCTGATAAGCAAAACACGCTCAAGTTTTTTTTTTGTATACGTCAAACTTGAAATGGTATTTTAATTAATATTTATAACATAAAAATCTAACCTAACTTATAATGGTTGATCATCTCTTACTTAAATTAATTACTAATTATCTCTATATATTTCTCATTCTATTTTTATTTGGCGACAAGTGTGAGAGCAATTTAAACTTTAGTTTTTAGATTTTTATGAGTAAGGCTTTAAATTCTTAACGTCGGGAATAAGTTATTAATCGTTTGTCTTATTTACTCTTGTGCTACGCTGTATTTTTTCTCCTTTTCTCTTTCGACATAGGTGAGAGCAATACGTTGGGAATGTCCCCCGTGCTAGCGTCTATAGCTGCAATGTCAGCTTTATTGGCGACTGCTGTGTGCGGCATTTTAGGCGTGCTGTATCGCCGTCACGCGAACCGACATCGGCAGCTGCCCGCGAAGCACGCCCCACTAAGGTAATTCAAGTTTCGAGATTGTGTTGATTGTAGTTGTAATTTTCTTTAAGTGCATTTCCTTCCTTATATTTTTAAAATTATATCGTTTTATTGCTTTTATTTTAAAAATGATTTTGCAGCGAACTTATAAATTTAGTGTATGTGCTTTTTTATAATAGTAAGGTAAGGTAGTAAGCGAACTAACAGTACTGATGGAAAGTGCCTACTGGGGTCACTTGCTATCAACTTTAACCAAAGAAAAAAAAAGAGTACTTAGATTTTCCGCTCAACCTGTAAATATACTAGTTCAATACACACTTCAGACCGGAACACAGTACACGCACTGTTGCTTGGTGGTAGAGGCAGATGAGAAGATGGTACGTACTTCCACTTAGCTTACCACCTAGATCTTCTGCTAGTAACTGGGTTCTTAGGATCAAGTGATCAAGATCATCACTACAAACCTTTGCTAGTCCACCGTTGAATAAAGGACTGTTTTTATATGTATAAGTATGTGGATGCTGTGGCCCAGATGTCTACAGTTAATCTCGATTAACAATCTAAATTGACAGTCGTGGTAGCTTAGATAATTAGCGCTCGCTGTAAATTTTACAGTACGTGAGCAATCCGGGTTCGATCCCCGCCGGCACCAATGAAATTGTTAATTGCAATTTTAAGTGCTGATTTATCATGTGCTCGGCGGTGAAGGTTATCATTGTGGAGGAAACCTGAATGTCTGAGAAATAAGAAAAAAATGTTTCGAATACATATGAAGTTGGCCGACATGCATTGGGACAGCATAGTGAACTTCCTCCTTGCTCTGAAACTTCTGAGAAATGAGAGGAGTCCTGTGCCCAGCAATGGGACGTATATAGGCTGTAACTAACTTTAACTAACTAAAAATCCAAATACTGATGCGTTGTCACACCTGAGGACTAAGATGGTAAAAGGGAAGGATTCACTGTCTCTTCCAAGGAATGTCATAAAATTATGATCTATCAAGTCGTCATTCCATGTAATGCGGGGCCGTCCTACGTTCCGCTTACCGGTACGAACTGGAAATCTCTAAAACATTTGTTTATCTATCGGTTAACTGTTCTTCGAGTTATATGGTTCACCAATCATTATTTTGAAAAATATAATTATTAATATATACGAAGAATACAGAGACGGTGAATTTGCTTATCACATCATTAAAATATCGCTTCACATTTTTACTCTTTAAGCGAGGTAATGTTTACATTATACGTGGCCGCAGTTGACCCGGGCACGGTGACTATGGGTGCTGCAAAACACTAGAGACCTAAGAAAATTAAAAATAATCAGATCTAAATATTAGAATTAATTTTAGTTTAATTTTATTCTATTTTATGTAGTTTTTACGTAAATATACAAATGTTGCCCTAACTAACTTAACTTACTACTAACCTCTCTGTAATATTGCCTTTTACGAGTATATTATCTTTCTTTTCAAATCTTATTTTATTTTTATTTTAATAGCTACATTCTAAAAATATGTCCAACTGCTAGATTGGTTTCGTATTATTTCTGCGAGGTTTATAGAGCAGTTAGTTCAAATATTTAATTTCTCAGACATGCAGATCTCGTGATATATTTTATCATATCTTTTTATTTTTTATCACATAGGCCTCCCACGAGCAATACCACAAAGCACGGTCCTGAGACACCTGCATACATTGACTTCCCGCATGTCTTACCATGTCGTCACACCATCTAGTAGAGCCTGCGTGCCTGCGAGACTTGAGAACCTTTGTTCCCCTTTGGTTGTCAGTTCTTTTACTTTTAATTTCACTTTGCTACCTCTTATTTAGATAAATAAATTCTGGAATTAAAAAATACAAAATAAATTCTGTGAATAAGTCATTTTAATACTCTCAGTCTTTACAGCACCCATGGTCACGGGGGGGGGGGACTGAGATGTTTGACGTCCCAATGTCATTGTTAGCCCGGCTACCTTCAGTTTTTGAATATTAATTTTTGGTCCAATTTCTCAGTCCCTCATCTCAGTCCCCCCGTGACCATGGTTGCTGTAAAGCACCCGAAACTTCGGGAATTAAAAATAAGTAAAAGTAGTGAAATAAACGCGATAAAATCCGTAAATTTAGTTTTATTCAATGTGTAGTGTTCGCGTAAATTTAAGAAATTACTCTCAGTCTATATAGTAGTATAGTTTTACTGGCGCTTTATGGTAACTTCTGAGAGTAATTCAAAACCGTCACCTTGATAGAGTTTTACAAAGAATTTAATTTACAGTGAAGCGATGTATGCGGACCGTACTGGACACTGTCCAACGCCCGTAAAGCAAGAAATCGCTCCTCATTCTAGTCCTAGCGAGGCAAGAGGACCACTTCTTCGGTCTCCGGATTCGCGTGAGGCTGACGATGCTGACCCAGATATCATACCAAGTCTTTATGGTGAGATTGGTTGACCTCTTTGAGTTAATTTTATTTTAGTAGCGTGTGGTCGAGTGACTAGAACTACCGGCTAATTATCCTATAGTTTCACATTCAAATACCGCTTGAACTTGTAAGATGTCTGTTATAATGTATCGTACATCACAATGCCTACTACAACGCACAAAGTTATAGAATCAGTCGTTTTAGTGGTTCTCACTAACAATGTATGCACCTTTTTGAAATGTATTTTAAGCGTCATTCTTCTCCAATTGTTGACTGAATTTAATAATCGAAAACTATTTTTACGGATTTTTAAACACCCAAAACGTCATTAAAATAAGTAAATTAAACGCAATAAAATCCGTTAAAAATAGTTTTATTCTCTGTTTGATGAATATAAGAAATCATTATTTGAATTTAATGGTTCTTGTTTCATTTAGGGTTACTTAGTTTCAACTAGGTTTTACTTCAAGGGTGGTTCAATATAAAATTTGTATTGTATTATTTAATAATAAACACGTGATTCTAATTATTCTTTATACTATGACTTACCACGATACCAAATTAGAGATAATTACGCTTAACAATTTTTTTAAACTAGTTTTTACGGATTTTGTCGCATAGATTAACTTATCTTATATTCGCACAACACCCATGGTCGCGGGGAAGGGGGGAGGGGGGGATACTGAGTTGTTCGACGTCCCTATGTTTTAGTTAACCACGGATATCTCCAGATTAATATTATATATAAATAGGATCCCTGATGTTGAAGACTCGACGCTCCGGGAAGTCTGCAGTCTGTGAACCCGTACAGGATCAAACCCGTCACTACATCAGATTTGATAAACCACAAACCTCGCTAAAGAACACCGATTCCTTCCAATAATGATTCGCGAGGCTATTGAAATCAAAAAATATCCCAGTTTCAATAGAGAAGATGGCTGGGTGTTACCATCTGTTTGGGATCCTATAATTATTTATTTATTTAATTAAATTCCAACATACTGCACATACAATTGCAAGACTTCAAGTAGCTATAAGTTCATACTGCATAGATCGGAACAAAAATTAATAATTTTAATCCAGATGTAGCCGAATGTTAACTATGACATAGGGACTTCAAACACCTCTGTCCCCTCCGTGATCATGGGCGCTGTAAATAAAGTGCTCGAAACGTCAGCCATATAATAAAAATTTATATATGCGATAAAAACCGAAAGAATTAGTTTTATTTAAATGTGTAGTGTTCGCGTAAATATATATAAAAAAAATTTCTTTTGAGTTCTTTGAAGCCAGTATTTTTTTTAAATAAAATATCTATTTTATTATACATTTTTCTGAACAATTTATTCAAAATAAAAAGGTATAAGAATAAAATGGAAAAAAATTCAATTATTGGTATAAGGTTTTTAATATATTTATTTAGACAATAGACAACACCTTATTCCGAAAACAGAGCACGTTCAATACGGTATTAATATTATACATATAGCTTAGCTTATAATTATAACTACTATGTAATATTTTGCATTAATTATTAAAACTAAAATATTATACCTATTATGTATCTAATTGAATAGAGCGGAGACCTGTGTCCAACGGTTATATGAGTCTCCAACGCCCGCCATCCACCAGCAAAATAAGTAAACCGAACGAAGACGTGCGTTCCGAGCCAGACGGGGGCGGGTTTTACTCCGAGCTGCGGAAAAAAGATTATAAGATACCTTTAACTAGTGTGAGTATTACAGTTGAAATTTTAATGTTCTAAGTTATTAAAGTAATTTGTACTGGAACATACTGGACAGTTTGGAGAGCGTAGTTGAATGCACATGGTACCTCTCTATGGCATAGACTGACAAAGTTTGAGCACGTGGGCTCTCGTGCTGCAAACAACCAAGACTTGATGTCTCTGTTCTATTACGTAGTACATAGCACTTCCATGATTTTAACCGTACCATTTGTCATTTAATTTAAGTTATTTTTATAAATAACTCAACCGTATTCTATTAAACCGTGTAGTGGCTGTATAAGAATATCCAATACCCCGTACCCATATCGTCCCGTGGATGTCGTAAGAGGCTACTAGGGAAACTGAAACTGATAGTATCTTCCAGATTCAAAACCATTAAAAAATAACTTACTAAGCATGGCAACTATGGTAAAATTTCCCAATGAGGCAATCTATGGAGAGAAGGGAGGGGCCTCAGTATATAATGAAAATTAAATTGTACGTGCGTTGTAGTGACCACTTGAGAAACCCATCAGATCATCTTATTCTTTTGAGTATTTTAAAATTAACTATGGGAAATGGTTGGAGATCTAGCCTCTGTTAGATGATAGTATGTCAATCTCGCATATTGGTATAATCATATTCTGTATTCTGATTCCTAATTTGTGATTAGTGTAGGTGTCAAAACATAAACCATCTAAGTAACAAACGGGCACATTTGTGTTCCATTTATTATAATCGTTCGAGACCCTTCTATAAAAATACATAGTTCCGATTATAATGTCAATGTGTTCGAGGCAAGAGTGCAAAGGCTTTTGCTAAGCTAAGTTAGTGTGTTTTACCATCTTAGAATACGTCGCCACTTATCATCAGTGGGATAGTGAATAATCACCGGATTTGTGATGGTTAAAAAATACCGTGTTACTTTTTATTAAAAATCATTTTCCCTTACAGTCTTACCATAGCTTAGGGCGTGCGAATAAAGGCGTGAATGCATGTAGTCCGAGTGGCAGCACCGCGGTGACGTCATCACTGACAGCGCACCGTTTGCGGCCTGAAGTCGTCACCACGTCTCACCGCGTGCAGGAGAGTTGTATATAAGCTATTACTATTGAAGTACTGCAAAGACGTTTTGAGATTTTTATACTCAAACGATACTTAGGACGTCATTAAATCTCGTGGTCTCACAGTTATTTTAACTTAAAGTGATAGAGACGGCATGAGCCTTAACGGCATCTTAAAATTATTTACATTAATGTTACGTCGGAGTGTTTGGGGATAAGCAGAAGAGATTTTTGAGAGTTTAAAAAGTATACACGGGCTACCTGCCATATTGAAGTTGATTATTCCAGATATAACCAATCACAATAAATCTGAAAAAATAACGATGCTAATGCGCGATCTTTTCAGTACTGGTCTCTGTCTGTTCCAATTTTAGGACATAAGTAAATTTTTTTAAACTATTATGCGCTATAAGCCTCAGTACATAAAAGGTTCGAAAAAAATTTGAATTAAGGAAAAGGGGAGTTCTATCCGTATAATTCCAGTAATAATATTAGGAGACTTAATAAATGTTGATATTTACAGTTTTGGAATCCAATTCATAGAAACGCTGTAAATCAGAGGCATATCTTTGGTACACATTGTTCAGTTGTGATTTCTGTTTCTGGTAACATGTTAATAATAGTTCCTTTAATGGTAACGTAAAAACATTTTTCCCTTGACATTCCATTCGAAATACGTTATTGCTTTTGTCCGTACTCTACGTACGTTATATTGTATCTTGGGTGGGAAATGTCGTTATGATATTTCAGTAATAATTGCAGACTTAGAATGTCGCCCAAGTCCGATAAACTGTAATAAGGTGAAGATAAAATATGTTCAAGTATGTATTCTATACGTTAGCTGTTTGATGTCGTTTATAGTTTCATAGTTTTTAGTTTCAGTAACGTTTATTTTAGCAAAGTATATATTTTAAAACAAAAATTGGTACTATATAACCGCTTGGAGCTGGCTGGATGGGGATTTGTTCTTAGCATATGTAAATAAATAAAAAAGTGATATATAAGAAAGTATATATATATATATATATATACAACATGTAACATAATTAACGCACTTTGAGAAAGTAGTTTGTTCAGAATCGTTTACTGAATCGATTCCTATCATTTTTAATATAGGTAATTTTTTTATCCCAAAAATAATTAAAACTACGTAAATTACAGTCACACTAAATCTGTACAGTCAAAACAAACTGAAATGGACCGTAACCTAAGGCAGTAAGACTTTTAAGAGTGCAATTTTATTTGTATTGTTACTAATTCTGTTATTCAATAAAAATAAAAAAATGAACTTTATTTCAAGCATGTTAAAGTCTTTGCGTTCGTGGATTTGTACTGTGACCACAACATTCTTCCAGAATTAGTATAACTAATTTGATAAATAATCAGTGCATAAAAATGTTTAACTAAAAATTCAGTGTATGTATTGTGATTATAACATAATATACTAATTGGGGTGTCTGAGGGTGTGCGTTAATTACGTTACATATTGTATATATGGTAATGCTATACAGTTTAGAAGAATTGTGAAATATCAGGAAAAATTAATATCTCATAGGTTATATTTGCTAATATTCGCCATTTATTATAAATTTCTAGGTTTTTTATATGTGAAAAAAATAAGCGACAATACACTCAAAACAATCTTTACAGCACTTCCAAGAATTAAACACCCTCAGATGTACATCATCCAATATAAATAGTTACTGACTGTGTTCCTTTCATAGTTTTAACTTTTGTATATAAGACTTTTACGAATTTTGTGAACAGTAATTTTAATGTTTGTAAGTTAGTAGTGCTAATGTGTGAATGAATTTTCTATGGAATTTCAGCTCTTAATGTCTTGAATGGATAAAGATGAAGCAAAGTTGCTCAATTTTTACATTTAACAATATGTTCTAGATGATTCCTAAATTTTCATTTTAAGTAAATATGAATTTTGAATCTTGAGAATAATCTTGAAAATAATACCGGCAAAGCTGTCAACCCTTATTAATAGAATCGTAATTTTATTTTTACGTTAGAGTGTCTCAAAAATCTACAATCAAAAGTCTGTTTTTATTTTTATTTTAGATACAATCAAACGGCCTTCCTTATATAACCATTGACTATCACTTACATAAATTAAGTATTAATTATCCACATACCTGTCTCTGTCTAAAGGTGAGCAACCTAAAGCATTTTTTAAGTCGATTTTGTATTTTGCAAATAAAACTGTTTTTTTTTTTTGTAATTCGTAATAATGACCAGATTAAAAATAATTCGTTCATAATGCCTGCATTAGCTAAAGTAAACTCACCGGCGTTTTACTTTATAATCTGTAAACATTTTTATTCAAATTGAAATTAGAATAAAACATTTTTAAAATTAGCTTTGTTGGCGCCCGTTTGATCTGGATATAAACGTACTACTTGATGGCTGAATTTGGACTGCTTGTATAAATAACACCTACCAAAATTACTTTTAACACACTGTCGACAGTTTACACGACAATTAACACTTCGGCGTAGCATTTAACATTTGTAACATTACGCTAACACGTTGAACAAACATTCGTATGATTGATACCCGGAATCTCAAAGTAAATGATCCCTTGTTACATTTGTCGTCTGATCTTAAAGTTATTTTAATCTGTGGTCACGAAATCAGCGTCGTAGGTGAAACTATTTTGATTTCAAAATATACGAATTACAACATTTAAATGTGGAGTAGTTTATAGGTTTTGTAAATATGTCTAAAATTTTTATGGCCAGACTCTTTTTTTTGGGGGGTAATTATTTCGTTATGATGAACAAAAAGCAGTTTCGCCACATGTTAGTAACTTATAATATTATTTTTGGAGATTAAAATAATTTTCTAGCAGATTTCACAATGCACTGAATTTAGAATTGAAATATGATACATAAAATAATTGTTTGTAAATAAATTAACGAATAAAATTATTAAAATATACAATATAATACAAATTTACAAACCTCCATATATATACACATACGTACATACATACATATACATATATATACATATACATATTATTATGTAAAATAATTTATTCAATTTCATATTAAAACGTCGGTCGTATTATGTATCATAGCCACGTGAAAAGAACCGAAATCCAACACTTCAATAGGTTTCATAAAACGTTGTACCTATGTCTGTCTAACGTATTAGGATAGTAGGCTGGCTTACTTTTCGCTTTCTTTGTGGCCCGAATTAACACCCACCCTCACACTCAAGCACCCTCGCGGCCACACGCGAAGTGTCGTTAAAGCGAATGACAACATTTATCTCCAGTTAGCGCCGCGATCTTTTCTCCTACGGTTAGAGCGTTGGTTGATCGCTCGAATTTAAAAGCGCTCCGCTCGAGTTACAACTAGACTTGCTCATTTGTCGTAAACAAGAAATTTGAATCTTGTTACCGATATTTATAGACCTATTCCTACAAATTTTGACGCTTCTTTATCATTGTAGACCGTTGCTTTTTGGATACCGTATCAGTGTTACCTAGAAATATGATTTGAATCCATTTTTAATTATATTCAAATAGCTACTTACAGATCAAACGAGCTCTCAAATAAACCTCGCTTTATAATTCAAACATGTCCGAACGTGTTTATCATAAACCAGACACCACTTTCCGTCGGTATGTCAACAAAACTTAATTTCAATAATAACAGCAGAAAACCGCATGTTAAAGTTCAAAAGTGGTTAGGTTTACATTTTATATAAACCTTACTGACAGCAAACAACGCCATAACAATTTAATACAATGGGCTTGAGTCACATAACATTATTGTATTTTTTTAATGTTCTTAATAATTTTCGACACTGTTTTTGTTTTGCTTTTGGTATACTCATATTGAAAAGAAGTAATATAAGCAGTAAATTAATAGCAGAGTCCCTCCAAGTACTACTTTGAAAAATGGTAACTAGTTAAAATGCTATTTTAAAAAATTCCTTAAAAAAACAATTAAAATAGTAAAATAACACTAAACATATTTGACTAACCTCATTAAGTCTGAAATTGACATGGAAAAAAATCGACTTTGTATTTATAAGTTTGAGTCACAATATCTCTGCCATCTTTAAGTTCCATTCATTTGACTACAATTCAATTTCAGATCAATAATTACAATTAGAAGATACGTTTATATTTCAACCATCTTTATCATCAGAATATAATTATGATTTCTGTTCCTTCATTCCTCTTTCCTGTATTTCCGACAAACGATCGTCAAAGCTCTTCTCATTGTCGTTCACAGATGTTTTTGTTACGTACGTGTGGCTCTTTTGCCAGATTGGGATTTCTTACTTCTTAATAATCACTGATGTAACATTGGTCTGCTAGAATAATTAGTACCTTCAAGCCTTAAACGAAGCTGAAAGAAACATTTCTTCTACCATGCTAGGTATCGTCGGAACCTCCTTGTGAACTCGTAAAACAAGTTACAAATCTTGAGATAAAAGTACAGTTGTAATTTAGTTTTGATTGATAGTAGGTTAGTTTTGACTGATATTATTAAATTTGGCTAACAAATACATAACACATAATATTATTTATTGACAATTCTAAAATATTATATTGGTGTGTTTTATGTTTGACGATAGATTAATTTTTTTTCCTTTGCTTACATAAATATAATCGTTTCACACGTTTTGTCATCGTGTATTATATTTTGTATTATGATGTGGATATAAATCTAGAAAGTGACAAAAAATTGTGTAATTTAATTTTATTTAAATTGAATAAAATTTAATAATGTTGTGCAGTATAATAAATTAATTGTAAATAATGTAAAAATTGTATATAGAGAATTCTATAATAAAAATCTAGTCTAATTTAGAGCTAACGGTGCTAAGTATTGTACATGATAGATCTATAAATTTATAGGCTACTGTCAATTGCCGACTCTCCCATACAAAGTATGGGAACTGACTATTGTTGATATAGTTTAAATAATGAGAGATTGTTTCTTGTAAATGTTTCCAAATACAATGTCGAGCATTTATAACTATTGTTTTATTTTATTATTCTATTTT